AATAATTCAAACACAAACCTCTGAATTTAAGTGGACTTCCATAGGTGTGTAAGTTGGCCAGTATCCCATAGTTAATATATTTACTGTCAGGTCTATATTTCCTGGGTCACTTTGGTTCTGCATATACTGAAATATAAGAGACAAAAATTATTCAAGTACACTACCTGCATACTAAATTAGAAAATGTATATACTTAAATTAGAAATTCAGGATTAGTATAACAATGAAAAATTCTTACAGGCTACATTCTTGGTTACATGCTCTACCAGCATTTTGAGTAACTATCTAATGACCACTTCCAAAACACAACAAGAGGCTGGAAGTACGAAAAAAAGATCAACATGCCTTGAAATATCCTAGACCACTGTCTATACAGGGTGCTACAGTCAAAGAAACCTTAATCATAGGCAAATAAAGCAAAAGAAAAGCAACCATAGTAAGGACTATAAGATCAAAAGGATCTCCTTGGAGTTTTACATCTGTTAGACAAAACTTCGTCATATAATTGGAGGAGAGCATTAGTCAAGCCAGACTGCAAAATCTGGGACAGAAGAGTCACTACAGTATTTTATTATGGGTGTTGTCCTGGGTCAGATCTCAAACTCAGCATACGGACTTCAGTAAGGCCCCAAAATAAGCACCCAGAGAGAAATGCAACAACAGGGTGAGCATGTACAGTATTTCCTGCAAGCATTCATTGGTCACCAGCATGTTTGAAACTTTGGGGCGGAGACCCAAACCTTCAGGGAGTTTCTCTGGTGTGGGCCATTCACAAAAAATTCATCGGAGCAGTACCAGCTTACAGAATGAAAGGATACAGACTTCCAAAGATGTCAGTCAACTGAATTACTATGTGGTATTTCGACTAGTTTACTTTCAAAGGGATCAAACAGAACTGTAAAATTATTGTATACAATAAATAAATTCTGTTGCATAAACAGAACAGTAAGTAGACACTATTATTATGACTATTTTAGCTTAATCCAAGAGATAGCACCATTAAATGCTTCCACATGACTGTGCAAAATTTTGTATAGAAGCAAAAGTTAAACATACCTGCTTGAACTGTACCATGACATCTTTGGACAGTTCCATGTCCTTGAACATGCCCTCCAGTTTGCTGGTAAAAGCTGCACCACATTCTGTCACACACACAAAAAAGTAAAAATCCCACAATTACAAAGAAGCACAGAACAAGTGATAAACATTTAACCTGAGACAGTTGAGCCACATTACCAGGTTACAGAGCACCCACAAACAGATGTTTTCAGGATTCTGCTCCTCTGTAGGTACATTAAATAAACCAGTCTCATACCTAAGATGGCCTAATAGTTCTTGCTGAGGATAATGCAAGGCCAGATATCTATATATATACACCTCCCCGTAAGTGTTTATGTTAAGAGCTGTCCAGCTATTACTTAAAATTTGGCTTGTCCCTTCTTAAAAGCATGAGAAAACAGGGATTCCAAATTTGCATGCCAAAAAGCAGTACAAATTTAACATCTGAAGACACCTACCATGTTTAAGTTTTGACAACATGGACTTCTCAGCATCTACTGATGCACTTTTTCCAACCAGCAGTCTTTTAGCCAAGTCTTTCTTATAAAATGCCTCAAACACATCTTTCCCTGTAAGGAAATTGAAACAAAAAAATAAAATGAAATTATACATTCTATCTGCATCACTGCTCTTCAGGCTTATGGAACAAGCCTTTCTCATGAAAGGCTGATTAGCAGAACAATATTCATTATGCAGTAGTGAAGAAAAACATGTAGACATTTTGTTCTTTTTATATTTTAATAATTTTAACATATTTTGAAAAAAAATTTCTTCTTTCTTTTTTATTTCTGCCCCAGAAACTTGGACTGCCTTGTATTTCCCGTTGGATCAGCTACAAAACACATGAAATTACTCTGGGGTCCAGAAAAATGTTCTCCCTCCACTGGTCTGATTTATTAAAAAAAAGGGG